AGTATAGCAGGGATTGTGGGGCTGGTGCGGGATCGGGCAGTGTTTCGTTCTGCTGTGTATGGGGTTGCTATGAGTCGGAAACGACTCGACGGCACTTAACAACAACAACAACATAAATGCATATTTTTCAATGTGCATAAGATGTCAAGAAGAACAATTCAATGAAACCCATGTAAAACAAAGAACATTACCACTAGCTTTGAAATTCCCTCCCCTGCCCCATTACCCTTCCCTCCTCCCACAGAGATAACCACTGTCCTAAATTTTTTGTTCAGCATTTTCTTCCTTCTTATCTTAATTTTATATGTGTTTATCCACAAATTCTAATTGTTTAGTTTTGCATGTTTTTCAACTTCATAGATATGAAATCACAATGTATGTACCCTTTTGCAATATTTTTTTTCCTTCTCAATGTTACATTCCTGAGACTGATTGATACATGTTGTGTTTTGTAGAGGTAATGTATTCATTTTTACTGTTGTGTAATATTCCATTATGTGGATATACCGTAATTCATTTATCTATTTTACTGTTGTATACTTTTGAACATTCAAGTGCTTTTTTTTTTTTAGCTTTTGTTTTCAATCGATTTGCTATTATGCTGCCATGAACATTCTTGGACATGTTTCCCAGTGTATATGTGCAAGAATATCTCTAGAACATACACTTATGACTAGAATTGCTAGGAAGGCAAATGTTGAATTTTATCATGTTCAACTTTACTAGGAAACAAATTGTTTTAATTTTCTCGGGAATGTATAAATAATGGAAGTCAAACAAGAAATTAAATAAAGAAATAGGCAAATGATTTCATGAAGAAAAAATAAAAATGGAAAAAGATGCTCAGCCTCATTAATAATCAGGAAAATACGAATTAGGATCAAAATTAAATACCACTTTATACTTTTACCAGATTAGCCAAAATTAAAAAGTGCCTGACATTATTAAATGTTGGTGAGGATGTGGAGCAATGCAGTGTTTATATGCTGTTGGTACAAGTGTAAACTGATAGAAAAAGCTTAGAAAGCAATTTGTTGTTATCTGGTAAATTGAACATTTCCATTCCCAGCAATTTCACTTTTGGTAAATTTATACATTTCCGAGAAAATTAAAACAATTTGTTTCCTAGTAAAGTTGAACATGATAAAATTCAACATTTGCCTTCCTAGCAATTCTAGTCATACGTGTATGTTCTAGAGATATTCTTGCACATATACACTGGGAAACATGTCCAAGAATGTTCATGGCAGCATAATAGCAAATCGATTGAAAACAAAAGCTAAAAAAAAAAAAGCACTTGAATGTTCAAAAGTATACAACAGTAAAATAGATAAATGAATTATGGTATATCCACATAATGGAATATTACACAACAGTAAAAATGAATACATTACCTCTACAAAACACAACATGTATCAATCAGTCTCAGGAATGTAACATTGAGAAGGAAAAAAAATATTGCAAAAGGGTACATACATTGTGATTTCATATCTATGAAGTTGAAAAACATGCAAAACTAAACAATTAGAATTTGTGGATAAACACATATAAAATTAAGGTAAGAAGGAAGAAAATGCTGAACAAAAAATTTAGGACAGTGGTTATCTCTGAGGGAGGAGGGAAGGGTAATGTGTGTATATATATACATGTATGTATATGTGTTATGTGTATGTATACATATATATATATGTACATATATATATGCATATATAGTATCTTTTTTCCAGTTTGTGGCTTGTCTTTTCACTTTAGATATGGCATTACTGACAAATAGAAATTCTCAATTTAAATGAAATATAATTGATCATCTTTTCCTTTAAAATGCAAACTTTTTGCACTTTTGTGACTTATTTTTAAAATTATTTTGTGCTCCAAGGATATAAAGATATTTGATGATATCATCTTTCTTAAGGTTATATAGTTTTGCCTTTCACGTCTAAATTGCTAATCTACCAGGAAATTTTTTTTTAAATATGATGTGAAATTAGGTCCATTTTCTTTCCTATAAGGAAAACTACTGGCTCCATTCCACGTATTAAGTAGTCATCCTTTCCTCATTGGTTTACCAGACCATAATTGAGTACAATTGGAAAATCTGAGCCTGTGTATTTTTTTTTTTTTTTTTGGTTATTATTGCTACCCTATCTCTTCTTTCAAGGAGTTCTGATGGTGCAGTGGTTAAAGTGCTCAGCTGGTAACCAAAAAGTCAGTAGTTCAAACCCATTTCTTCTTTCATCTCATTCTGGAACTCTGAGGAGTATGTAAGCCCCTGTCATTCTGCCGCACCTATCTATTAACCTTCCTTTCATACTTTTCAGCTCTTTGTCTCTCTGTGCTACATCTAAATAATCTCTTCAGATAAACTTCTGATTCACCAAATATCTATTCTTATGCACCAAATTTCCTGTTAAATCCTTCAAGGTTTTATTTTCATTATTACTGTTTTAATTTCTAGAAATTCTGCTTGGTGTTTTCTATACCTGTTCAATCATTTTATGGTCTTCTGCAGCTTATTTATATTTTCAATCCTTTCTTTTTTATCTCTTTAAATATATTATACATACTTTATACATATTGAACATAACCATG